TAGAATCATAGAGTTGGAAGGGACCCCAAGGGTCATCCAGTCCAACCCTCTGCCATGCAGGTAAATATAATCAAAGCACTCCCAACAGATGGCCATCCAGCCTCTGCTTAAAATACTCCGAAGAAGGAGATTCTACTATGCTCCAAGGCAGCATCTTCCACTGTCAACCAGTTCCTCCTAATATTTATGTGTAATCTCTTTTCCCCTAGTTTGGATCCATTGCTTCAGGTCCTCTTCTCTGGAGCAGCAGAAAACAAGCTTGCTCATTCTCGAGATGACACCCCTTGAAATATATTTAAACAGGGCTATCATATCCGCTTCTCCAGGCTAAACATACCCAGCTCCCTGAGCCCTTCCTTATAGGACATGGTTTCCAGACCTTGGTTTCCAGACCGGTGCCTGAAATAATCAGAAGACGACCTAATGATCAGTTTAATTTTTTTCTTCATTTCTGGCTAAGGGATGATTTATTCAACCACACCACACCAGCAAGCAAGGTTAAGAGGTGATGGTGCACATAGACACTCTCTGCCGCCTTGGTCCATCCCGGTCAGAGAGCTCAGCCTTGAGGATGAATGCATCCCTCTCACCAGCCACACGGCAGAAAGGTCTCCATTGTGGGAACAGCGACAGTTCCGCCACATGTGATGGGGTTTCGACCGACCTAGGATTTCCCCTGATGCGGAAGATCTCTGTGTATGCATCATAGGAGGCCTTCACACTAGAGTTCTGAAACGTTGCTTTCTGGGGCCACAACTCCCAGATTCCCCCTCCACCGGCATAGCCACTGTTCATGCTGTCTGAAATTTTGGAAGTTGCAGTTAAAAAAAAAAATCCCACAGAAAGTAGTCACATAGTTCTTGAATAGAATAATGCAAACAGTAATATTTCTAGTGATATCTCTACAGCAATGTTTTCCAGGATATGTGATGTAGGGCACCGGCCGTTTTCTTCCCCAGTGTACCTGGGATGTATGGTGGCCATGTGTCATTTACTATAAGGGCTGTCCCTTATTTGAGGGCCAGAAAGCTTCTCCCTTAAAGCAAGGGCATGACTAGATGGGTGCAGGATCTTCATGCCACACCAGGTGACACTCTTGGTGGGACGACACCAATGATCCCCAAACGTCTTCCTTTGGGCAGAAACGGGTTGTGGCATTTACCTGCATTCCTTGCATTGCATGGGGTGAGGCTCAGTGGGAGGAGAAAGGAGTCCCTGGTTTTAAATTTTAAAAGTTTTATTCTTTTAAAATTTTATTTGAGACCATCCCATCTTACCAAATTTTCACATTAACCACATGCAACTATGAACAGGTAAATACATTTAGGTTGTGCATATGGTCTTGTAATTTAAAGGTACAGTGGTCCCTCCACATTCGTTGAGGTTAGGGACACAGGTCCCCCATGAAAGTGGAAAAACCATAACTTAAAAAATTATTATTATTTTAATCTGAGAAACACCTCTAGGAATCTCTTAAGTCCTCCAGTGCAATTCCATGGTCAACATCTGCCAGAAGTTGGCTATGAAATTGCATTGGAGGACCTAGAAATGCCTAGAGAAGTGTTCTCTTAAGGTCCTCCAGCGTCACTTCTGGCAGACATTGCCCATAGAATTGCGCTGGAAGACTTAAGAGTTTCCTAGAGAGAAAATGTGAAACGGATCTGTGAATAATCAAAGCCACAAAAGTCAAAGCCGCAAATGCAGAGGTCGACCAATTTCAATTTTGCTATTTATGTCTCAACTATTACATTACATTCAATGATATACGGGAATTACGATTTATGAGTAACGTGAGTACAAAATACATTACTAAGGGTTCTGTGTGGTGTAGTGCGGGAGGATGTCAATGGGGAAGGGATGACACCATGAGTTATGGCACTGGGTGACGCCAAGCCTAGCGATGCCACTGCCTTAGAGAACTGGCACATGCCCCAAATTGTAAGGGGTGCCTCCTATTTGAGAGTTGGAACTTTTTACTTGTATATGGAGTGAGTAAAATACTTTTGAAAATCCCATATTTTGGGGTGCGCGCCTTTCATAAAGACAGGTGTGTATGGATCTTTAGGGCAACTTCTGGAATTCTACAACTCTACTGAGTCCCCTTCTGGAACATGGTATAGTGGGTGAACTGGTATGGCATAGTGCTTTGAGTTTTGGACTGGGATTTCATAGAATCAGAGTTAGAAGAGACCCCAAGGGCCATCCAGTTCAACCCTCTGCCATGCAGGAACTCCCAGTCAAAGCACTCCCTATGACAGATGGCCATCCAGTCTCTGTTTCAAGACCTCCAAAGAAGGAGACTCCCAACACCCATCCATTGTCAAACAGCTCTCACTGTCAGGAAGTTCCTCCTAATGTTGAGCTGGAATCTCTTTTTCCTGTAGTTTGTCACCATCGCATTGCGTCCTATTCTCTGGAGCAGCAGAAACCAAGCTTGCTTGTGACATCCCTTCAAATATTTAAACAGGGCTATTATATCACCTCTTAATGTTCTTTTCTCCAGGCTAAACATACCCAGCTCCCTAAATCTCTCCTCTTAGGACTTTATGGTTTCCAGACCCTTCACCATTTTAGTCTCCCTCCTCTGGACACGCTCCAGTTTTTCAACAACCTTTTTGAATTGTGGTGCCCAGAACTGGACACAGGATTATTCCAGGTGAGGCCTGACCAAAGCAGAATACAGTGGCGCTATTACTTCCCTTGATCTAAAATCACATTGGCCTTTTTAGCTGCTGCATCACACTGTTGACTCATGTTCAACTTGTGGTCTACTAGGACTCCTAGATCCCTTTCACACGTCGTCTCCTTAAGCCAGGTGTGCCCCATCTTATATCTACACGTTTCATTTTCCTGCCCTAAGTGCAGCACCTTACATTTCTCCAGGTTAAAATTCATTTTGTTAGCTTTGGCCCAGCTTTCTAATCTATTTGATTCCCAGCTCGGCCATGAAACACTCTGGGTGAGCTTGGACATGCCACACTCTCTCAGCCTCAGGGGAAGGCAAGGGACAAATCTTGCCAAGAAAACCCCATGATAGGTTTGTCTTGGGGTCAGAAATGACTTGAAGGCACACAACATACAAACACAGAGGGGTGAGTCCTGAACCAGCCAAAGAAGGGACTTAGAAGTAAGCCTTCTTGTTGTTGGAAGTGTCCTCCCAAAGAGAAGCGCAGACGTACCAGAGCTTGTCCTGAGCAAGAGGGACCTCTTTATTGATTACCGCAACTATTCTATAACTTCAGATTGGAATGAGATCATGGGAATCGGCCTCACATGAACACTAGCAGATTGCTAAGTACATGGATTCTAGCAATCTTCTGGTCAGCAGAACAAGTACAAATCTTCTTCCAACAGAAAATGCTGCATTATAAGAACAAGGAGAGTCTATGATGTGGTCGGCATTTGCAACATTTAGGTACAGTGGCTTCTTTCCCATTGCTGCATCTAACTTAACACAGGCTTATTGTCTTTAAGGTTCTGGTAAGGTTCTGGTAGGATTAAAATGGCAGTACTGCTCTTCTATTGATTTCTATAGGCTCCGAGTGTCTACTGAGTAAATGGAAGGTGAAGAAGCTCAATCAAGCTGAAATTTAGATTGGGATTTAAGTCCCTGTCCAAGGTCCTGAATTGCTGCCATAATAGGGAAGAACCCTTCTTAAATTTGGGTCACATCATGTAATTTATGGGTGTTATGTGAGTTTTATAAAGAAACACATAGCTAAATTAACTCCTTTGGTAATTCAGGTAGAACACAAACTTGTCACTAGCTACTTTCTGACTGTCAGCTTTGCATCTCCTGAATTTGGACTCCCTCTTCTTGATTTTTGGAGAACCTGGCAACATTCCAGGATAGGTGTGTATGCCTTCAAGTCGCATGTCAATCTATGGAGACCCCCTGAATTTTGTAGGGTTTTCTTAGGCAAGGGATCCTTAGAGAGGTTTTGCCAGTTCCTGCCTCTGAAATATCGCCTAGAGCTCCTGGGATTAGCATTTTATTTGGACCCACTGACTACCAGTGCTGCTTTCTTTCCTTTTACGCTACACAGTTTGTTGTTGTTCTTTTTTTTTTTTAATATTCTTTATTGGTTTTCTTAATAACAATTCAAACAAAGCTTATTATAGAAATCTTTTACATTATTGTTATCTATTACATTATAGATTACTGCAATATTCCTACTTCTATATTCTGCTCAGTTTTTCATCCTAAGGCTTCATTAACCTGTATTTGTTAGCATCCATTTATCAAACATTATTTAAACAAGTATTCTTCCTCTTAAACTATTACAATTCATCTTATGTACAACATGTTCTGTTAAATGTTATCTTTACCATCAATCCGTAGAGTATAAACTCTTCAGTTATCTCATATCTTATATTACCTAGTCTTTTGGCACGAGTGTTAAATCTCTATCATAGGATCAATACAATATTAATCTATTATCCCTTTTTATCTTCCTGTTTTCACCTCTCGCATTAACTACTCCAGTTGTTAATTGTAGCTTCATTTTTGTTTTTAAGCAATCTAATTTTCTTTATTTGTTTCTTTATTTAGCCCATTTCTCTTTACAGTACTTCATCACAAGTTCCCAGTCCTCATTCTTTTCTGCAGTCGTTTTGTCTTTTAATAAAATTGTGAGTTTATCCATTTCCAACATGTCCAAATTTTCATTTATACAGTCATCTAGAGTGGGGATTTCTGAGCATCTCCATTTTCTTGCAAATGCGACCCTGGCAGCAGTTATTGTATATAAGATATACTTTAGGTGTTTTCTCAGCTCCTTATCTTCAACAATATTTAGAAGAAATAGTTGTGGCTCAAGTTTTACTTGTATGCAGAATATTCTTCCA